TGGAGTTGGTTCTGACTCATAGCAACCCTGTACAGTGTCTCTGAGGCTATAAATCTTTACAGGAGCAGAAAGCCTCATCTTTCTCCAAGGAGCAGCTGGTAGTTTCGAATTGCTGACCTTGTGGTTTGTAGTCTGATTCGTAACCACTATGCTACCAGAAGTATATATATATGGAGTCCTGGTGTGGCGCTGCTCCTTAGAAACCTTATACAGGGTAGCTATGGGTCAGAATTGGCTTGACGGCCCTTAACAATAACATATATATATTTATGGAGCTCTGGTAGTGCACTGGTTACGAATCGGGCTGCGAGCCGCAAGGTCAGCAGTTTGAAACTTTCAGCTGTTCCTCAGGAGAAAGATGAGGCTTTTTGCTCCTGTAAAGATTTACAGCTTCAGAAACCCTGTACAGGGTCACTATGAGTCAGAATTGACTCCACGGCACATAACAACAACAAATATATATATGGATGAGTCAAAAATTATCCTTACTCTGGTTATATTAAAATCCCTGTCCATGCCCATGGCTGATGACATTGAGCGTGGGAGTGAAATGATTCTGTCAAGTAGATAAGTGACAGCAGATTATATGGCAAATCACTTGAAAATCAGCCATGGCTCTGACTATGCAATAATCCATGACAGGGTTGGATTTCTAAAAGTTTCTGTGAGATTGGTATCAAGACAACTCATAGAAGAGAATAAACAGAAGCGTTTGGACATCTGCAAACAAATTTTGGACCAAAACTCAAAGGACGGTAAATGTTTCTTAAAGAAAATCATTACTGGTGACGAGACACAGATCCATTACTATGATGAGCCTGACAGTAAATGACAGAGAATGGAATGGAAACATTCTCAATTGCAGACCAAGAAAAAGTTCAAAAGTCAACCATCAGCTGGAAAAATGATGCTTAAAGTTTCCTGAGACTCTCAACATTCGACAATCAACAGTGCTCCTTACAATGAGATGCTCACTGACTAGTTGAAGCCTGAACTTTGGATTTAACACAGAGGACCTCTATACAAAGGTGTCGCGATCTTGCATGGCAATACAAGACCACACACCTCTGCCTAAATTGTTGACAGTCTGCAAAAATTTCATTTTGAGGTGTTAAAGCATCCTCCCTATAGTCCTGACCTGTTCCATCAGACTTTCACCTGCTTGGTGCACAGAAAGCAGCCCTTTGAAGACAAAGTTTCACCTCTGATGAAAAAGTGAAGATAGTAGTGCATTTGTGTTTTGCAGATCAGCCTAAAACGGGTTTTAATAAAGGAATATGATATCTTGTTGACAGATGGACAAAGTGTATTGAAAAGCAAGGAAGTTATGTCAAAAAACAATTTATTTGTCTTTTCTAAAAGTTGATTAAAATAAATTCTACAGCCTTATTACGGATAATGTTGACTCACCCTTGTGTGTATGTATATACATATCTATCTATCTATCTATCTACCTATTGATAGATCGATAGATAGATAGAGATCCATATAGGTATATATACACATGTATACATATACATACACACACACACACACACACACACACACACACAGATAGATAGATTTGACATCAGGGTAACAGAAGCTAATTATATTTTCACTGGTAAAATATATGTGTGTGTGTATATATGCATATGTATTTGTGTGTATGGGCTAACATGATCAAGAACCACCTTCATGACAGTGATTCACCTT